ACCTTCATTTGGACGCATCCCGATTGAACACATGGATTTTGGTTTTTAACACTCACATCACCCATCGACAGTGCCGACCGTGCGCCCTTCCCCGCCCAGTGCCAATGCCGAGACCTCAGATTTTTCTAGGGAGCACGATTCTTGCTGAAGTTGTCGTTGACAAACTTCGCTTTGACACAGTAGGCAAGGAGCAGTGCAGTTTCGATACATTTGTACGAAACCCTTCGAGATTGCTTTGCTATCTTTCCGATGAAGTCCTCTGAGCACGCATTGTCGAAGCATGCTGGGTTCAATGTTCTGTCCAACTTCGCTGCAATTGAATCATCGAACTCAAGTCTGAAATGACAAAGAGCATGGAATTTTGGGACCATCCCGAACAAGCTCACGCCACCCTCCAGGCAGTGTTGTGCAAGAAAGCAATAGCTGGAACAAAACCTGTGATTTGCTTGCCTGAGGTGGCGCACGCAACCCTGCTTCAACCACAGTCCGTGCCCGTGCAGGCCCTGCCCCCAAGTGAGCCCTGCCCTTGAACCAGCACTGACCCAAACAAGTACCTCTCGATCTTTTGGGGTCAAAGAAGATTGCACCTCCAGCTGTAGCCGAGCAAAGAAGAGCAGCCACTTCATGATAATGATTGTGTCTGACCCTTTGGATCCCACATATGGGAAAGCCTGGTTGGGCCCCTGATGAAAGTTCTGAATTGTAAACCCACGCAAGCGAAGACCTAGCTTCTGGACCTGGCAGAACAGCCGTAGGCTACCGTATGCTCTTTCCAATCGGGCTCCCACACTGCAGCTCTCACCAGCAACACCTTCATCGAAGAGCCCCATTGAGCCCATCAACAAAATGCAGGATGCTAAGTAGTTGCGAGCAACTCCAAGCCTGAAGATGTGAAAGTTGTCACGGCGCAAGAACAATGGCTTTCGTGTGTCATCAAATGGCACACTCTGCCATGGAGGAGCCGTTGACCACGGCAAAGATTGAAATCTTGTGTTTTCCCACGCAGCCCCACGATTGCAATCTTCAAAGGCAAAATTGTCTCCTCCAGCCAGGCACTCATGACAACAGGGCAAATTGTTCTTGTGTCCAACATTCTGGTATGAACGATCAAGACAACCAATTTTTGCAGCCCACTCCATGTCCGCTTTAATGCCAAGTACGGCCAGAAAAAACTTCTGGCCATTGGCCATGACAACTCCTTCACGACAAGCTGACGCACAGTCCGTCATGACCTCCTCAATCATTTGGCGAAGCAAACCAGGCATGTTCCTGTGCCTTTTTGATGGATAGGCAAAGCATAGGAAATGGTGAAGGTACGAGTTCTGTTTTGAGTTTACCCGTTGTGCATCCGAGTTTGCCAAACATCCACCGCCAAAGCTTTCTGAGGTAGAACACTGGCAATGGAGCAATGAGGAGTTGGACGTCTCAAGGCCAAGCACCGGCTGAAATGAACACACTTCGATCGGTTCCTTTTTCTGCGTCCTACCTCCATCTCCGTGAAAGGTGATGGGGATTGTTTTGGATAATCTCTCCAAATCGTACTCGAAGACGGCGTGCTCAGGATGTTGCTTTTTGTACGATTGCCAAAACTCTAGGAGAAGTTCCGGAGATTTTTCAATGCTGCAACCGCCAAGCAAAACCCAAGGGTAATCTGCTAGAAGGGTTTTCACCATGTCGCTCACTTTCAGTAAGGGTAGTCTACTGGTTTTTGCTGCTTCCTCATGAACTTTCCAGGAGATAGGAACTTTGAGTTTCAGGTTAAACTTTTTGACCAACAGCTTGTACTGCCGCGAGGCATTCTTAAAGCTCCTGCCCCGCGTTCCCAGCGATCTCTGTGCAAAGCCAGGCCCAAACTCTTCAGCCATAGCGTTGCTTTTCTCAGCAACAACTTTGGCAGGAGCCTGAACGGGAACACCGTCAAGTGGGTGTGGGTTATAATGCTCATGGTGAACATGTGATGCATATACACCCATGAAAGAATATGGCCAAGGAACGCCATCAGCGACACAACTTATTGTATGTTGAAGTACTGGACCAGGTCGTGGTGGGCCTAGCGAACAAAAAGCCCATCTATCGATGTAAAAGAACATGCAACAAGAAGCCTGCTCAACTCATATGACATGGTTGCACTGCCAACAATGTGCGCATTCAGTTTGCCACACATGCACAATGAGTCAACCGCAGTCAACCATTGCACCTGCACATGCAAAGAGTTGTTTCCTTTTCTTGAACTTCCCATAGCTAAGCCGAGTTCACTCGACATCTATGATTCACCCCATGACATCACGGAAGCTCCTAAAAAAGCTATCCATGTTCAAAAGAGCATTTTGCCCCATGCAGCTGTACCGTGTCAAAAAAGACGATACACTAATCCCACAAGATGATCTAAGACATCCCACTAGCGCTGAGAAGATCTAAGGCGTCTTCACAGGCGTGGATACCGGCTCAGCAGACTTCGTCTTGTTTCTGGTCCGCATGTGGTTCAGGAGAGGCCTCAAGCAGAGAGTTAGTGGATGTTTAAAACATACGGGCATTGCTTTGATAAGGCTCAGGCTGAGCACGGCTGAGTAGACTCAGGGCTTCCGATGCCCTTAGGCAGGTACTTCCACGGGGACAAGCGTGGAATAGCTTTCAAGCAGCAATATTTTCAGAAAGCCTCCAATCTAGAGAACGAGACCAAGAATTGTGTTTTCCTTCCTTGCGGGTTCTGAGGTACTTGTTGTAACAGAGTTTTCATACTGGCTCAAATCCAATCATCTAATCTTGTATGTCAAGTGGCTTTTGCTTCGAAGTTCCAAAGTGCGTTTTCAGGCTTCGCTGGTGCCTTGTAAAAACATGCAACATTGTGAGCTACTAGGTCACTCGTTCGATTTCTAGTTATTTGCGAACATGATGCTGTGCCGTGTATCCACTCAAGATACCCTGCGAGTTCAATTCGCTAACCGACTCCTGGAGATTATCCAACTCCTTTGCACAGGTTTTGGCCTTCTCGACAAGCCTCAGATGGATACAGGACGGTGGAGGCAAGTGGAAACGGTGTCTTTCATGAAAACCCATACAGCAAGATTCCGAGCACCATGGGCCTCATGGAGTCTAATTTGGGCGTGCAACTGGGAACACGCAGCAAGGGAAGCGCAGTTGGATTTGAGCTGCTCTGCCAAGTCATACATTTTAGCCGACCATTTGCCTAGGCAGCCCAAAACCTTAATGCAGTAAGTGGATGGCAAGGCATCATCATCCATCTCAGGAAACGTGATCTTCTTGAGCATCTTTCCAGCGGCTGCGTGTGCATCAGCTGCTTCATTGCGTTGTTGCTCACCTACGAGAACATAGACAGTCTTCCCCCCCAAAGGGAAAAGAAACCCTGCACTGCAGTACTCAATAAAATCTGAACATCCCTCTAGCACCTGATACACTTAGACATGAAGAAGTAGAGTTTTCCCGTCCTTTAAAATCAAAAGTGTTCAGCATTACGATGCATTACTATCAATTAAAGAACTTTGTAGGGCCTGCGGTTTCAACATATGATGCATGCTCGAAGCTACACGAACCAACGTCCAACTCCCCATCCAGGTCTTCGGATCCAACATCCGAATCCTCTTGCTCAATGAGGTCCCTCTTCCGTTTCCTCAGCGTGTCCAAAACAGGAAAGAACTAAGCAAAAGAGTCCACCAAAACTTGAGTTTGAATCCTGAAGCAACCCTTTGGATGCTGAACAAGCCGAGTCAAAAAACTTACCAAGGGATCTCCAACAACTATTTTTTTGTCAGGGGCACTATGCATGTGGTACGTGTGTAAGGGGGGATGTTGGCGCCTTTGTGAAACCAAGTGTCAACACACGGCCACTGGTCTTCTTCTCCCTCCAATACAGCTTCACATCCTTCTCATATCGGTCCCTCCTGGCAGGCCAAGTCTTCTGGAAGGACGTGGACATGAACCTTGCACATCCCTTCTGGAAGTTGCACACTCGAGTGAAGGCCTGATCCAACCTTTACGGTTAGCGCATTCAGCTTTGATTGCTTTGATTCGTGACCTCGGAGTCGTGACCAATAATATGGAACCACTACAATACTAAGAACAGCCTATACACATGCTGGCATGCTAGGGTCGATTTGGCACAGTAGAAACTAGTAACTGCACCATACTTGCACCAAGATACTCTGAGATACCTTCATCTTTCATGTCTTGCTCCGAAACAAAGTCACCATCAACCCACAAATCTTTCTCCGTGATGTGCTGACGGATGCGTTTGGTGGCGTTCTTGACAAACAGATCCTGCAAGAAGGACATTATGGGAAAGAGCACGGGAGTAAAACCATGGTGTACAGTATACAGTATAAGGGAAAGAAAACCAATAACCTAAACTGGGTCCTTGTCAAAGTTTGCCTTTTGGAACTCCTCCAGAAGCTTGTTTTGATCACCATTCTGCCACTGATCCGCCAATTCTTGCGGAACCAACAATTTCCCGTTGGCTCGGGGTTTCATGAGCCGGTCTATCCGCTTCCTCATGGCTGTTTTGGTCATGACCCCAGCCAACAAACCTCCAAACCCATGGTCATTGGCATCCATCGGTTTAGAGGGTGGAGTTGGCGTCGCACCATCGAAAGTAAGACTCTGCCTGACATCAGCTGTGTTTGGGGTGCACGGGGAATGACTGATCCCTGAAGGTAGCCGGACCAAACGGCCATCCCCCGCATTCGGCGCAGGCATCGGATTTGCAATCCCAGGCAATGGCTGCTCGGGTGGGCCCTGGCAAAGCGGATGCATGCCAAGAGTCGGGCCAGAAGAGGGTCATTTAAGAATCCTTTGGTTGACGACTATATAGTTCATGCGTGTAAGATTTATTGAATATTCTTCGTATATGACAGGAGGGTTGCACGCACAAGGTCATCTCCAGAAACTTGGCCTCATCATTGTTTAGGGATGCCACATCTTCAAGTTCAAAGGATGCCATGTTGAACCTATACTATAGAGCCCCGCTCACTACAAAACCGGTGTTCCATCCATGGCCCATGTCCAGCCTCCTGCAGCTGAAGTTTGGCATAGTCTTTCTTCATTTCCTGCCCAGGCAGCAGCGAAGCATATTAATATTGTATATTTGGTTTCTTATGGGTACGGCATTCTCCGTTGTTGCTGTTCAAGTTTGTTGTTTGTTGATCTCTGTTCAAAAATAGCACCTACAGAGCGATTTTTGGAAAGAAACCGTCAGTGACACAGCAGTTGCATCCTTTCTAGTCACTAGTGGCTTTGAATTGTATTTTATTTCATGAAGCCCGCCCCAAGGAGTTTTCTACAAAATAATTTTATACCTCGAGGCAAATTATACCTTGCTTCAGAAGTGTGAACAACACTAATGTTCACTGTTCTGCTGAGTCATGGATCTTACCCTCAAACTGTCATCGGCAATGTGTTGAGCAAATACAGTAACTAACAATTGCTAATGTTGGTCTTCATTAATTACAAAAGAAGGCCCTCTCACCAAAGGTTGTGCTTTGGTTCTTCAATCCACCACTCTTCTTTCACAATTCAGTATGCACAGGAACAACACCAACACTAGAATCGCTGCAGTGTAGTTCCGTGTTTGTGACCTTTGGTGTCCAGTCCCAAAACTTGTTATATGTTTGTGAAACAACCCAGAACCCACAAAATATGTTCTAAGCCAATTGAATACAATCTACCAAACATTGATTTTCAACATGCACCAAGCTCGCTTTATAGCATCCTCCAACAACAGGTGATCTTCAACCCGAAGAACCACGAGACCAAAGGCACACGGGCAAAGGGTGTCTATTCAGGGATCCCCCAACTCCTTTGCTAATTCATGCCAAGGAAATAGACCCTTTCACTCAATTCATGGTGCCATGGGAGTTCCACCTGATAATCCTGGATGCACAAATCGCTCAAATATTGAACCCCCTTAGTATTGATACCAATGGCTGTGACCCAGGAAAGCCTCGATTTAAACACCTGTTTTCCACAACACAGTGGCTATCGCATTGTTTGCCATCACCCCTCCTCTAAGCTGGCCAACTCGGCAAGAAGCTCCATTTCATTGCAATGGGACAGGTCTTGGCAGCGCACCACCTCGTCCCCATCCATGAGCGTAGAAGAGCTAAAAAGACGAGAAGGTAGGGAAAAGCTGGACATGTTGATCCCAAAACTCTGTCCGGAAATTTCCGCCGCCAACCCACGTACTTCCGCCGCGATCCCGGGTATTTCCGCCGCCAAAAAAAGCACACGAGTGATTTGGAGTTCATGGTCACGCCATGACCATGCAACCTTAATTTACACATGTGTGTGGTCATGCACATGGTCATGCACATGGTCATGCACATGGTCAGTCATGTGCATGCATGCATGGTCATGTGCTATATGGTCATCAACACTGTATGCCCCATACTCGAAATATGAATGCATGGTCAGGTCCACTGCTGTGTGTGGTCAGACACGACAATAAACCTTTTCCCCCACACGTGCAAGGCTCCATGATCATCCCAGCGGAAGGCGCTTGGGCAAAGCTGCCCTCCAGGCATCATTGGGAATGCGGAGTCTCTTGCTCCCCCGAAGGTAAATAAGAACATCCTCCAAGTCACAACATGGATCCCACGTATCCTCATAGGAGGCCATATTGAAGAGCTCCAAAACGGTATGGTCCTTTGATACCTTAATATTTAAGTCAACAAGATTGAACAAGATTGATCATTTGGGAGAGTAGGGTGGACGCAATTGCTTCAACAAGTGACGGGAGGCAAGGCTTCATAGGGCTTGGCAGCAATGAAGTGGGGAACCAATCTTATCACATTGGCAGCAAAGCGATAAGTGTACCGCCTGGGCTACCATGGAGAATAAGGACATGTCCGGGTGTCGGAGTTGGTGTTGCAATTGTTTGCAATTGTTGCAGCTAGAACATAAACCAAGCTACTGTGTTCCCTTGAGCTGGTCAGTCCCCTGCCACCTCTTCTTTCCGTCCTTGTCAATCCATGTTTTGGTGGTGCGGACCTCTGTGGGCTTCTCTGCGGGCAACAATGGTCCCAGGTCAAGGCATTCTATATGGGGGGACGAGCCCCACATCCAAGTTCGTTTCCACGTCATGCCACCATGTTTCTTCATCCAGAAGGCGGTCTTGTACATCTTAGCACGCACAAACATGAACGCCGACATGGGAGCATGAACCAATGCCAACATTTTGTTGCATCAAAGTTGCGTAGATTTGAAATGACAACAAAAGTTGTACAAGCCACACATATCGATCGTGAAGAGCAATCAAAGAGTTGGATGGATTTTCCAGTAGTATGGTTCCACCAGAAGCCACGGTCAAAAGCATAAGAATCACTGACCTTGAGTAGGTTAACCAAAAACTAGCAAATGCCAGCTAGCATGATGCTTGCACATGAAATGAAACGATGTTTCAATTGCCGCCCAAAGAACCTTGACACGAGTTTGTTGCTTTTGCGAACAGAAGGAACTTGTTCATCTCCATGCGGCGTGATAATGCACCTCTTACCGGTTCCTCTGTTTACAGGTGTCCAACTGCTACAGCATGTCGCAAACAGAGACACCAGCTGGTTGAAGCGTGACCGAAGTATGAGCTTGATTGCTAGCACAAGGCCTGCAGACGAGTTCATGTCCATGCTACGCCGCTTGCCAACTTTAGGCATTGAGTACTCAAAATCATATGCCACAGCATGAATACCCCCCATCTCCGCCATTTGAGCTACCCGCCCAACTCCAGAGAAATATTCAATAAGTCCATACTCCGTTTGGGTGCCCTCATCATCTTCCATCCAGCTTACCAATAGCACCAGAAGTATGATGACCTTAGATGGGTTCGGTTGGATTGGAGACTGGTTTGGAATGCTCCTGCCAAACAAGGGGTTGGTTGATGGCAAACAAGGTACCTTTGGGCAACGGAGTGCAAATAGGCGTTTGAAGAAAAGGTCCAACTCATGTGGTCCCATGGCTTCACAACATCAACCATCGCTTGAGCAGTAGCACCACTGCAGAAACCATGGGTCTTTGTGACAGACATGTCAGGTTGCACGTCAACCTTCAAATTCAAATCTCAAAAACATCGTTTCCCAGTTCATGCCTGGAACTTCGGAATGATCCACTCCAATCCCAAGCTTTGCCAGGCCAATCTGGCCCCGCTTGAGACCGTACATGACCTGGCACGGAGGAGAGAGTTTGGGAGAAGAGAAACTTAAAACTGGACGGGATGGGCCGGTCCATGGGAAAGCTACCCGCTATAAACATATTTGTGTTTCTTTTTCGCTTCTGTTGAGAGCAGCTGCACCCAAGATTGCAAAATAGGAACCTGTTGTGCACCGCTGTTTTTCACATCCCCAAGCTCCCCGATGTTGGTCATGGCACGAGTGACACTCGTGTTAACTAGCGTACGTACGATATATGTGCTGTGCACACATTTGTTTCAAAAGCCAGCTGGAACACCCTCAAACATCAGCACATGACAACGATAGAAAACAAGTTTTGACCATGCAGAACAAACTTATAAGCACACCAGGCCACCAGCTGGAAACTACACCTAATTGTTGCCGCAATTGGGGCAGCGCTAGCTCTTCTTCACGATGTCGATGAAATCAGTGATGCAACCAGCAGCCATTCCCTTGTACTCAGAGACATCCTGCGGCGGGTTGGCGTTGAACACCTTCACGCATGTGTTCCACCAAAGCTCCTGAAATCAAAACAACTGATTCCAGCCAAGACCTGATAGTCAGATACCGCATGCTTGCGATAAAACAAGCAAACAAAAACAAAACAATCATTGACAAACTTCAGATTTTTCAACTATAGTCCTGCCACTGAAAAGGTCCAAAACCAAGGTCGCGAATTTGGTCAGAGATATTCTCCATGAAGACATCTTTGATTGCGTTCCACCGGGCCTTGGCTTTGGGACAGGTCGACGGGCACGGCCTGCGACCAAAGGTTGCACCAGTAACACGACGCCTCTTGGTCTTGGGCTCTGTCTCAGCACCATCCTTGCCACCCGGACCCTCATTCTTGGCCTCAGCCTCAGCAGGCGCCACCATGGCATCCTCACCATCATTCTTGACCTCAGCAGACTCCAGCATGGCGGCTGGCACAGCACCAGAAGCCTCGCTGTGATTTTCTTGAGGCTCATCCTCTCGAGGCTTGGTTGCCTTACCCTTTCCTTTGGCCTTAGCCTTTGCTTTTACTTTCGCTTTTGCCTTTGCTGCTGCCTTGGGTCCTGGCCTTGCCTTGGCTGCAGGCGTCTTTGGCTCCCCATCAGCTTTAGACTCACCAGGCTCACCAGGCTCACCATCCCCATCCAAATCAATGACATCTGCAGCTTCAAGAGCTGCGTTGCCACGTCCGCGCCCTTTACCACGCCCACGTCCACGGCCTTTGCGGGGTGGGCGCGCCATGAACTGCTGAACTCGAGGAACAACAGGGGCACGGACATCATCAGACAGCCTCTTCCTCAGGAGAACCAACATCTCCTCCTC